TATTTGGTAATTAGTGTCCAATTATATTCAAATTCGGAATCCAATTTTGTCTAAACTGTGTAATTAGTTTTATTTTTTATTTATATTTAATGCTTCATGCATGAAATATTCGATGTGACAGGAAATCTTGAAAAATTTTATAAAATTTTGAGAACTAAAGGGGCTCTAGGTCTGGCTTAATTGGATTCCGAATTTGCTAAAAAAAAAAAAAAGATTCCGAATCGAATACAGTAGGAATAGCGGTAGCCGGTTGCGTTGCGTGTGGCAATAAAACCGGGGTCTCCGCTGCCGCCGGCCGTCGCTACCCTTTCTTCCATCGTAATAGCCGCCGACGCCACAGCCCTCGCTGTCTGCCAATCCAGATCTAGAGCTCCATCGATCGCACCTGCTGCGATGGGAGCTGGTGACCGTGACCTCAAGAGGAAGAAGGCGAGCGCGTCGAAGACAGAGAGTGGTGACGACAACGTCAAGAAGATCCAGGCGATGTCTCTGTTGGCGACTAAGCCGGCCACGGCCGGGGCCGGGAAGAAGAGGAAGAAGCTTGTCAAGACAAGACTACCGCAGGAGCTCGTCGACGAAATCATGACGAGGCCCGTGACGCCCTTCCCGGTGATCCCTGATGAGTTGGTGGCCGAGTTCTCTGAGGAGTGCCGAGCAGCCTTTGCAATGCAGAAAGCTGACATTGAGAAGCTGATGGCCGTCGACGCCGATATCATCAGGCAGTATAAAGACAAGGGCTACGCGGAGGTGGAAGAGGAGGTCACTGACAGTGAGGAGGGGAAGGTGGAGGATTAGGGAAGAGGAGGAGGTTACCGAAAACGCAGAGGAGAACCCTAGATTATGATCATCTGCTCAATTTCAGATGTAATTCAGTTGTTCAGTTCTGTTTGGATATATTCCTTGAAATTTGACCTGGCTGTATGGAATATTATGCAATTTCTGTGTTGTTGTGACTCTGTTTGTCTGGATGCGGTGCCAGGGAGCAGCAAATATGTTGCTCGCTGAATCTTCGATGTTTATAGTAAGATGCTGAGATCAGCAAGCCACATTGTTTTTGTTCCCATTATTGTGCGTGGGATAATCTTTTATTGTTCCCATTTCTGGTTCAGAATGACGTGGAGCTCCAATCTATTCAACTTTTTTAACGTGATGAAATGGTCTTATTCTCTTGTTCATCAAGTGTTGTTTGATGATAGTCCGGATGCTTCTTTTTGTTAGACAGACATCATCTTCTGATGTCCACAATCACTGCTACAAAGGCAGCCCAGTAGTGGACATGGTCAGAAAGTTGATGATGGTAGATCTGGAAGTGGAATCAGAGTAGTTGGCAAATAGCAGGTTATGAGTTTTGATTTATGAATATTGAATAGTCTGCCGATATACTAATATAAATTCTTTTGTATTACTGATAGATTGATGCTACTGCAAGACCATATGCTCAAATTTGAGTAATGGAGACCTGGTATCGTCCAAAGTCTTATATATTCTAAACTGAAGGAGTAAAAGCTGATAAATGTTCGAACTTTAGAAAAATCCATATGGATGGGAGTAAAAACTTGTAAATTCGTGCCCCTACAGTATTAAATGTACGGGCATAAGACATTTTTATTTTGTACTGATGGCCCCATGATACGCCGCCTCATGGCCTCATACAACCCTGTATAGAATTGGGTGCTTACTTCAAACCAAACTTTTCCTTAGACTTTGTTTGACTGCACTCTAATCCAGTGGCGGAGCCACTGTCCGCGGGACCCCGGGCGGTAGTCCGGGCTCGACGTCGGCGAAGTGTAAAGGGATTTGTTGTTTGTATGAAAGAGGAACACTGTTTTCTATAAATATTTCTGCATAGTGACAATAATAGCCTGGGCTCCTAAAAGTTTCTGGCTCTGCTACTGCTCTAATCTACTACAATCCACATGGATCGAGAGGATTGAAGCCTAGCCAAACAAGACCTTAGATTGGAGTGTAGGCAAACAAGGCCTCAGTGTTCCCGGGTAGGCACATTTTCTGTTCACACGGTAAAATTGTGCTTCAAATGGTGAAATGGAACAGTAAAGCATCAGTGCAACGAGTGTTGTGTGGATAGCATTACCAAGCCACATCTTGTTTTTTCATTGGGTAAAACAAGGGGAAAAAATCGTCTCATAGAAGATGAAGAAAAACTATCTGCTCATTTTTCAGTTCCATAAAAATACAGTAGCAAATGTTTATAGAGCATAAACATGTCCTCCAGTCCCCCAGGTCCCAACCCCAACAATACACCCGTTCAAATCTTTAAACCGAGAGTGATCATAAACGAAGAAGAGATGTATGATGGCGTACCATGCGTTGCATCCTCAACCAATAACTCAAGAGGCTTCACAGGTTTCAGCTCTTTCACCTTTTCTTTTGCACTAACTTGTGTTCTCAGCATTTAGTATCACACACCAAACCGAAACGGGACGTGGCACAGAAAGGCAGAAAAGGAGTTTGCACCAAAACCGCTGCCGACCTGGGGGCAGGTGTCGGTAGAAGTAGAACCGATCATTTTCCCTTTTTCTAATCACAATCATGCTTCTAAAAGAAAAAAGCTTTCGCAGAGGAAGTCAACAACACAAGATCAGAGCCTGATCTCGATTCCTGGACTTGTCACCCGCTACATCGTTGAGCAAATCGCGTAGAACATCACTTAGTAGTCCATCTTCTCACAAGGCTGGTGATCTTCAGCTAATAAAAGTTTCACAGTTTATTGCTATAGGTAGAACAGTTTCTCGCCAGATCTTGCACACCCTGCATCATGCCCAAAATTTTGGTTCTGCGCAACTGCGCGTGCATTATTCAGAGATGTGCAGTCTACTAAGAAACTCTGGACCACACTTGCTCATCAGTGTTATGTATGTACTCCTGAATTCTGTTGAAAACTAGAAATGCAAGTTCTTCTTGGACCCGTGCTTGGCCTTGATCATCTGGTTCAGGGCCTTCACGCACCGGCGTATCATCCCCATCGACTTCTTCCCTCCCTCGGGTCGCTTTATCACCATGGCCAGTGTCGTGCCGCCTGCTGCTGCTCCTTTGTGATCAGCAAGGACATTCTCTCCACGGTTGCCTAGCTTGCTGGTAGGCATTGCCTCGCCGGTTGGAAGCTGCTTCTGTTGTATAAGCTCCTGAAGGGAGAACCGGGGCACGTTGTCCACAAGACGTGGTGGCGTGGCTACTTTCTTCAATGCTTGGAATTGCTCTGGCGCCTTCTGCTCAATGTCATGGCGTTCCTGCTGAGACTTCTGCTCCTCCTCGTCTTCAGATTGTGATTCCTTCGGCTCCTCAGCTTGGAATCGCCCAGGTGCAGTCTCCTTCTCAATTTCTTCAAGTAGGTTTGGTGTCACCAGGTGCTCCTCGTCTTGGAATCGCTCTGATGCAGTCTCCTTCTCATCTTCTTCAGGTAGGTTTGGTGTCACCAGCTCCACGTTTTGGAATTTCTCTGATGCAGTCTCCTTCTCATCTTCTTCAGGTAGGTTTGGTGTCACCAACTCCTGTTCTTGGTATTGTGATGGCAACTCATCTTCATCCTGATACTGCTCTGGCGTCTTCTCTTCGTCTAGATACTGGTCCGGTTTCTTCTCATCATCTTGATATGGATCTGGTATCTCCTGCTCTTCGTCTGGGTATCGCTGTGATTCCTTCTTCTGCTCATCTTCATATTGCTCTGGCATCTTTTGCTCATCATCTTCATACTGCAGTGGTACTTGTGGAGTCTTCGTCTCTTCATCTTCATTCGAACACAGCGTCTTCTGCTCCGCATCCTCACATTGCTGGACTGCCTTCAGCTCTTCATCTTGGCATTGCAGAAATGCCTTCAGCTCTTGGTGGCGATGCTGTGCCAGGGACGGTGTATACTGATCTTGAAAGCAGGCTACCAGGCTTGTCGATCGCCGAGTTCGCCTCGACATGGCAATGTCGAAGCGGCGAGACTTGCTCACATCTAGTTCGGTGGCCATTGTCTATGGTCTAAAGAGTAAGGCCACCAGAGCACCAGAAAGTGTGGATTTGCATCTTCTCTGGTGGTGGAGTTATAATGTCCCCAGATGTGTTCAATTGAGCAGTCCGTACAGGGAATCAGTGAAATGGTGAGGCGTCACCTTCAGAGGTGAAGTCCAGTTTGGTCATTTGTAAGATCAGTGCCTGTCGTGGTAGCTTTATCATCCCTACATGAAGTGAGATCCAAGTTAGCAGCAGTAGGCAAGTGACAATTATTCTGCCATAAACATCTGTGCAAGCGGTAGAGTCTTAACGCCTGTGACCGGAAGGTCCCGGGTTCGAGTCGCAATCTCCTCGCATTGCACAGGCGAGGGTAAGGCTTGCCACTGACACCCTTCCCCATACCATGCACAGAGCGGAAGCTCTCGGGGGTACGCCCTTTTAAACATCTGATATCTTTGTGCTTTGCTGGATGGCAATATGAATTTATTCTGTCCAAGGAACGCCTAAGAACTAGGGACAAAGTTCTGGAACCAAGGAAAATTACCTGTGTAACTGAAGCCTTGTCCAACAACACCACCCAAATGATAACCAGCAGGATTTGGTTTCAAGTGAAAGATATGAATGGCATGCTTTACATACTTTTGACTGCAGAAAATTAATCTATCATTTGTACAACTGTAACGTTAAAGGTTGTTGGTTTCTGAACATTCCGATGATTTAAGTTTTTCCTTTCAGTATATGAAACTGACATCCTCAACCAGGACGGCAGGACCTGATGCCAGTTTCAATAGAAATCATTTTTAGAAATAAACTCGGATAGCAGGTTCTGAAGAGTTGCTTGTGCAACTTTGGCATAAGTGCAAAATCTAAAAAGATTACCCTTCACCTAAAAGCAGCAATTAAATAACACTCAAGCATAAAGTACACCTTTATGTCACAACTCACATCAAACAAAACATGGCTCCTTTGCCAACATTCACCATCTCAGGCCACATTAAGTTTTTTTTACAAGGTCAATCGTGCTTAGATACAGACAGAATCCCCTATCTTGCAAATCTCATTGTCCACTCAGCTGCTATTTCATCGTGTTTAGCTCTATCAGTCAGATACTGACGTGAAATGCTCATCACAAGTGGGCTGTCTGCAAAAACAAAAATCATAACTTTAGCCTGTCAATTGAATAAGAAAACGTAAGGCTTTCAATTGTTGAAGTAAAGTAGAAAATATGTAAGTAGGCTTAATTTGCACCAGAATCCATGATTGTTTACAGAAGGTAGTACAGCGAATGGTAAGTACATGGATCTGGATTGCTGATGATGTCTTTGATGGCCAATAACACCTTTGAAATAGTGAAAGCTGGACTCCAGCCATCCTTCAGAATGTCCAAATGCACTTTACCAGTGGAATCAATATTGCAGTGGTAAATCCTTGTTTTGAAAGTTACCTGGGACAATACCAGCATAACACACAGTCGGAGTTGTTATTAAACTAAATGTACTCAATTTGAATAGATTTCACCAGAAGAGTAAAACAACTTGTGAAACTTACAATATTAACATGTGAAATGTCAAGCCATGATTAACATTGGTAACACTACCTACATAAGTATAGATCTGACAATAACATCAAAGAGCGTTGGAAAGATATTTTGAGAACACAAAGCAAAGCCTTTCAGTCCAAAGCAAGTTGGGGTAGGCTATTTTGAGAACAGAGGCCTCAAAAACATATTGTAATACTATTATATCTGGAACATCACATTAATAGCTTTAGTAGTTTAGTATGGTAGTTGCAGTAGTCTGAATTAGCTACATGAATAGTTAGTTCCAGTGGCTGGTCATGGTAAAACTGTGCCACTGAAGATTAAAATGGTAGGTGAAAGACAAAAAACAAAATGGAGGTCGGCTGTTTCTGGTCCCTCTTATGTCAAGCAACCTGTCAAAAGTCAGAAAGTAAACATGAAATAGATGGTGGCAGTGTTGCCAATTACCATCATATCAACAACATGAACGGGTGGAGTCTTTTTTTTTTTTGTGACCGTGACATTGCATTGCTTTTTTTTTCATTAAGAGGAAAGGCTAGTTTTACAGTCTTCCGATTACCATATATTACAAAACTATTTTACCACCAACCAGAGCTGCTAAACAGGCAAGCAATACTGGAGTTATTTGCTCTCAACAAGCCAGCTAACGACAAGAAATGTGAATAGCCCGCCGAGAGTGGAGTAGTGGACTACGCATTTAGAATCACTTCCCTGAGTTAGCTGACTCTCTTATATTCTAGCCAAGATAACAATATGTCACTGTGTGTTAAGAGGTGATGTCAAAAGCATAATGAAGTCATCATTCTGTTAAAACACTGTATGCATGGTTTTCTATTCAGTTTCCTAGGAAGAATTGTAATGCAAATTCAGGATCCCAAGGGCAGAACAATCAGAACTAGAACTAGAAACTATTACCAGCCTAACTGTTCTGATCTCCCACTTGATTTTTTCTTATGAATACTTTCTAGTACTTTGGCGGTCACGGGCACCAATCATCACAACTGAGCGTGACATACAAATTAGTTAAAGCTTGTCCATTCAAAAAGAGTACGAGAAGCAGGAATCATGGGATTAGGTAGAAGGTATGCATAACAAGAAGAGGAGAAATGTCAAGTTGGAGCTTAAGTTTTCGCTTTTCAGGGCCACATCAATTTTTTTTTCTGTACTAAGGCACTAAGCAGAGATTTCCCAGCACAATTCAACAGCCAGTGTCACATAGAAGTACATTAATAGCAAAAATGTGAATTCTTACCATGGGAGGTTTGAAGGGATAATCAGGAGGAAACACGATGTCAAGGAAAAATACCCCTCCTTCATATGGCGATCCTGCAAGACGTAAATTATGTGTCAACTCAACCCGCACTTCCATGCTTATTTCACAGCTCAACTTACAGCACCTACTCTAAAAATAGCAGCAGCAATCTTTCAAAAAAAAAAGCAGCTTGTTGAAGTGAGACTGCCATCTAGCGCACTAAAATTTCCACGAGCTTTGGACTGTCTCTAACGAATTGGAGAATCGGAGAGGAGGGAGCTCTTACCTTGGGGCCCGATGATGGTGGAGAGCCAGTGGTAGAGGTTGTCGCCCTTGGGTCCCGCGGAGCAGTCGGAGGCGTTGAGGTCCAGCAGCTCCTTCTGTATCCGTTTCCCAGATGAAGACACCGACGTCCCGCCGCTCGACCCCCACGGCCGCACGCTCCTCCCGCCTCCACCGCCGCTTCCGCCGGGGGCCCCGGCGCCGGCGGCGAAGGGGAAGCGGGAGTCGAGGAAGGAGGAGGACGAGGACATATCCGCCGCGGGGCCCAGATTCGGTGACCGCTCTGGAAATGGCAAGTCACCGCGGGACTTCACTGTCCAAATCCACCGTCGAGAGAAGATCTAATGGCTGCCAGCGTTCCCACCCAAAGACAGTGGTTTTCCACTTCCACCCGTGAAGACAAGCGGGAGCGGCTCCTTTTTCGCGTGCGCCGCAGCCCGCAGGTGCTGTGCTGCCCGCCTGCCGACCCCTGCGGGCCGCCAAGTAGAGGTGGAGGTCCGCGGACTGCCTCCTTGGGTCCTGGACGCCGTCGAGGAGAGCCTCCGCCGGGACGCCGTCGAGGAGCGCCACCGTCCAGGAGTAGTTCACATACATAGAGCAGTAGTTATAGTAGAGTCAAGTCTTTCCAATAATGCTTGAGAGCACTAGTTCCAGCTTTTCGTGGATCTGTCTAGGAATTGACTCTAGTTACTCCCGCTTACAACACTAGTTACAGGGCCTTGACTCTAGTTACAGCACTAGTTTGTCTACTCCTGCTTAGGGCTCGTTCGGTTAAGGGTGATTCTCGGCAGGAATTATTTCTGGTGAACGCTCAGGTTATACTTCCTTTCCTGCCCGAGGAGCCGTACAAATGAGGACATAGTAGAAGCAAACCTGGTTGAAATAATTCCTGGTCATAAATTCTCATGAACCTAACAGGCCCTTAAGGGAAAGGAACATGCAGCCTGTTCGGTTGGTCATAAACGATCGTAAATTTTCAGCTAGAACAGTATTTTTCTCTCACACCAAATCAGCCAGCAGTAATAATCCACGATCGTATACGATCGTTTCAGCCCCAGCCGAACAGGCTGATGGCCTTGATTCTAGTTGCAGCACTAGTTTGTCTACTCTCGTGAGACTGGAGTGCCTTGTCGTTGAATTTTGTTTCTACTCAAAAGGTATGACACGTCTGAACAAATGAAAGTGCCACAGGAGATTTGGATTGGGCTGATGCAATTTGCTAGAGCATCTTCGCACTGAATTGGCCACATACAAGCTGAGTTTACAGGATCTTCCACATTGAATTGTCCACTGAACTTTTTTCTTCACTGCTACTTCGTTCCAGTGGCGACCTTAACATAACGATGGACAGGGATCGGCCCCGTTCGACTTACCTTAAAAGCCAGTTTATTCGGGGTTTTTTTTAGCCGGTATTTTTCTCTCACAACATTTCAGCTTTGGCTTATTTTTTTAGCCAAATTCAGTCAAGCGAACGGGGCCATTATCTCCCGTGAGCTGTGACATTGCACGAGCCTTTTTTTTTTACGAATGATAGCATGACTCCATTGAGAATGTTTTCCCTCCGTGTCGGTCTTCTATGTCTCCTACCTGCATTTTACTCTATTTTGCTTTGCAAACACATGAGCTGCTATGTCTGGACTGCTGAAAAACAGCTACGCCTGAGGTGTGTTTTGCTATCAAGCTTGCTAGCGCTCGGACGTCTGAACGGATGGGGCGTCTGGACGCCCGCACCTGCGAACCGTTTCTTGCGCCGTTTCGCGCATCACATGGGGCTCGCGCCGTCCCGAACATCACCAGCATCAGGAAGAAGGGGATGGGGCAGCGGACGCCCAGCCGGTGCCGGGAGGAGATACTGAGGCAAGACAGCAAAAAGCGAGGAGGGAGATGTAACACTCGATCTACTTTTGAAACATTAAGATGCAACACTTAAGGCAGATGAAACATGCATATGAACACTTGCAAAAACCACGTGGGGCCCACGCTGCCCTGAACATCCAGCATCGAGAAGGGGAGGGGGCGGCGGATGCCTAACCAGCACCGGGAGGAGGAGGAGATACCGAGGCGAGGCGGCAGAAAGCGAGAAGGGAGATGCAACACCTGATCCACTTTTAAAAACATCCAGATGCAACGCTTGCAACATACGTCTGGAGGCAGATGAAACACTTGTAAAAACACCTGAAAAAACAATTAAAAACCATGGTAAAACGTACGCAACATCTAGATAAAACACTTGCAACATATACAATATCCAAATAAACACACTTGCAACATACGTCTGGAAAAACAGACAAAACATTGGGAAAATAAGCTTGCAACATACGTGTACAACCATCGCAACATATGCAAACGTCATGATCTACTTTTGCAACATCCGCATGAAAACACTCGTAACATACCTCTGAAACACTTAAAAACGTGCTTGCAACATACAGTTTCAGTGCAACATCTTCGTGCTGCTTGGGAGAACAGAGGCTCATCAGGTATAGAGTTCACCGGTGTAGAGCTCGCCGGTGGCGCGGAGCTTGCCGCTTCGGTGGAGAAGACCGTGACAGGCTGGCCATCGTGAGCTGCGCGCGGGCGAGTTCCGCCTCAGCCACGGGGAGCTTGGCAGGCGGAGCGCGAGATGTGTGAGGGTGGGTTCCGCCCAAGCTGCAATGAGTTGCACGCGCACAAGCTCCGCCCCGGATGCGGCGAGCTGGGTAGCCTCCGCCCCGGCTGAGACGAGCGCGGACGGCTGCAACAAGCACGAGATGAGCTCGGGTGGAGGCCGTCCCGGCCGGCCACCGCAAGCTGCGTGGAGCGGTGCACGACCGAGCTCTGCTGTGATTTTTTTTTTAAACTACGGTGACCAACGTCGCGCGCCCACCAACCGAAGCGTCCGGACGGATTCTCCTATGCAAACACAAGAGCCGCTTAGTAGAGGTATGTCAGGCGGTGATTTGCTCAAGGGCTCAAGGCAAGTCATTGAATCTCTGTCCGTCGCGGTGACTTCGACCAAAGTGGGCGCTAAATCCAAATTTGCAGGACCATAAAGGTCACTTTGTCTGGAAGGGCTAAATGGGCCGAACCGGGCTGTTAGTCACCCAACTGAGTCCTTTTTTTTTTCTCGACCGCTAAATCCAAGTTTGCAGGACCATTAAGGAAACTTTGTCTGGATGGGTTAAATGGGCCGAACCGGGCTGTTAGTCACCCAACTGAGTCTTTTTTTTTCTTGACCTCAAACTAACAGGGGCCAATCTAGAAGAGAACCGACAGATCCATTTTTTGCCGGGCTGGGTGTTCAAAAAAAAAAAAAAAACTTGAGATAAACCCAAAAAAATCCAACCAGCAGTTCACCACTTAAACCGTATGCTTATAGCTGAAAAACTAAATACTATGCAGGAGTACAAATCATTTGGAACTTCCAACATTCAGAGAAGTCTCTGCTTGTCACAATTCAATTTTCCAAGTTGGCATTCAAAATTGATGATTTGACCAAACACTGATTCCTGAGGCAAGAATTTTTGGGATAAGATTACATGGCATCTACCTGAATACAGCAGACCAAAATGGCTCACTAGTCACCACAGTATCTAATGACAAGATCCACGATAAATTGCGGGCATCTCATCCGAAAGGCAACATGATTACAATGCTTTACATCACTACAAATAGAATGGGCAGCAATGTGGCTACTAGGTGAGTCAACCAGCAGGATTGGGATTTTGAAGCAAAACTGTCCGGGCTTACAGGCCCGGAGGCCGTTCCACCTTTGCTGCCGTTGGCGCCAGTGCTGCAAAAAGGAGCAAATTACATTGTCAATACAGAGCACAAAATAAGGTTAGAACCTATAAAACGAAATGGTACACTGGAATTACCTTCCAGCGAAAATGCATGAACCATGGCCTGCAAGAAATCCAGGGGAATTTAGATCAGGCTCACATTATTAACATGGTATAAAAAGATCTTATGTACTAAATACCCTTGATTTCTAGAGATTAAATTTAAAAACAAAAACTGAGTTTATAATAATAAACTAGAAAAGCACAAGCATAAACACAAGATGCTGATAGGAGTTGTTGTGACCATAGATTGTTTCTCTTGTATTGTGTTTTGGGCACTGATTTATGATCAATGTAACAGCTCGAGCAATGATCCTAGTTTGACTAATTCTGTCCTATAGATTGAGCGCTGGCTAGCTAAGGGTGTAGAATTCTCGCCTTTACATAACAAGACAGAAGATTAGTCAACGCAAAACACATATCAAACAGTTACTGCAGCTAATGGTTAGGTTAAATCTTGTAGATAAAAGGCCTCAGTCCCATGGAGCATATCAGTGCTAAATTTTTATCTTTTGAAATGCCACCTAGCGCTGACATAAGGGCAACTATAAATTATTTGCAAACAAAAGGAATTACTGGAACCATTACAAAGTAATCAATATTGTGCAAAATTCTCTACAGTGTCCTAATTGTACGAGAGAATGTAGCTTACTTGGATCAGTTGATGTTATCATTGCGGTGCCATTGAAGTTGCATGTACCACCACTAGACTGTGTTCTATGGTAATAATCGTTGAAAGCATAAGAAGAAACAGCTACAATATCATCTGATGCATAGCATGGTTGCCCAGGTTGAATTGCACTGCAGTTTGCAGAACCAGGGCCACATGCCCAATCCAAACTATGCTTCAGTGCACTATGGGGTGCACTTGAATTTGCCACACAAAACACCCCACGCAAAGCTGGTGATTCAGGAATAGTTGTGGCCACGTCCTCAAATGATAGAGAGTATATAGTGGTTGCATTGGGAAACATAATCCCCCAATTTTGCTCTGATACAGGCCCTGACCGATTATCCTCGTTGAACAGCTCAAAGATGTAGGTGCTTGATTGATTATTTGGTTGACTCGGAGTACCAGAATTGTTCAGTACATGATGTATGAGGTTTGTATTGTAGGCCAAAGCATTATCAACAGTAGCAGCCTTCTCACTTGGCCCACCACGCCATGGCCAGCCAGAAGCTGTGACTAAAACAGGAATCCCCGTGAAATTCATTGCTTGAATTGAGTTGTAGGTAGCATCAATTATAGCATCAAACATATTGGTATAAAAGAGATTGGTGTTAGGATCTGAAATTTGACTGTTCGGATTAAGTGAGCGGAACAGTGCATACTCCAAGGGGAATACGCCTTGCCCTCCTACATAGCCATAGTATGGTTGGGCATTCAGCATAAACGAAGATCCTGTATTCTTGAGAAACTGAAGATACTGAGACATTATTGAGCTCCATGTCGAATTGAAAGTGGCAGCAGAGGGAGGAAACGCCTTCGAGATCACATCCATTGAATGAGGACTCGAAATTTTCACTTGAGTATTGAGATTTGCAGCCAAAAGTGCTGACTGGAGGAATTGCAGTGCAGGTACGAGAACAAGTGCTGCATTGGGAATGGTAGTAAGGACCTCATTACCCACAGCAATATATGTGATGTTAGTCGCCGGAATGTAAGCAGCGACGTTCTTATTAATCCAATCAGCAGCTGTGGAACGAGATTGGCCCACACGAAGTAGCTGATCATTTGGAACACCAACCATCACTTCTATTCCAGTATTTGCAAGGGCAGTCAACATCTGATGGTCTGAATCAAGCAGGCGAACATGCTGGATCTTCTTTGCTTTGAGGATAGACACTATATCTGTTGCTGGTGGCATGTTCGACATGTCATTGCCAATAGTGATACCAACAAATGCCCCTACAGAGTGAAACAATACTTGTTATGCAAATATAGAGGTTACATGTTGAAACTTTAAAATCCAGTTCAAAATATCAATTTTTAATGTCCTTGTTGAAGTGGTTTCCACCGAACTAGAAAATCAGAGTGAGGTTCTGAAAATATGGTAAGCGCTAGTTTGAATCATATAAATGCACTACAAAATATATGGACTGGAGTACCTGAAACATTGAAAACCATGAGCATAAGAAGGGTAAACACGCCATGTAGTCTCTTGGATGACATATCCTTGTGCCCAAGGATCTGATTAGCTGTGAACCAGGGAAACTTCTCAGAAGCTCTCAAGAAAAGCTGAAAATATCAAGGTTGGGTTAAGCACAAACCACTATATACAGCAAAGTAAACTCTTTAACTTAGGAGTAAACTGTATCTCTCGGAAATACTTGAGCAATACATTTATTCACTTTTGTAGAGCACACATTAATTATGACACTAGAAAACAAGCTTACAGATTTTCCCTAATCTTCAGTTCACTTTTGTAGAGCACACATTAATTATGACACTAGAAAACTAAGCTTACAGATTTTCCCTGATCTTCAGCATGAAGTAACAAGCTTAGAACATTAATGTAGTACAGGAAATCTAGAGATTTCTATAGACCTGTCTGTTTGAGCTACTCCATTCTAAACTATAAGACGTTTTGGCTTTTCTAGATACATAACTTTTGCAATGCACTTACATATTCACTGTCTAAATACATAGTAAAAGCAATGTATCTAGAAAAACCACAACGTATGATTTGGAACGGAAGGAGTATCTTCCAATCCCAAGTGAATGAATCAGTAACTGAAAATGTCACCCAAAATCGTGATGAAATATCCCTTGGCCGCTATTAAATGAAGAAATTGAAGCAATGTGCTGGCACCTCCAGAATCCAGATCATCATGGGAAAATTTCCCCCAAATTCTATCGCCACATATTCATGAACGATCCATTGAAGTTCAATAAAGCCGAAAAATTAGAAATGACCATGGACAGAATGACAACTGTGAAATCCCCTTCAAACTAGAACCATCCCAGAGAAAACAGAGATAGATGAACAGCTAGATATCCCCCCACCAAACAGCAAGCAGGACTTCAAGAACACTTCATCACCTTAAAAAAAAGAACACTTCATCTATGTTTGTTAGCTAAAATGCCACCCCCTTTCTAAGGAAGAACTCGCTACAGCCGGAGTAGCACCAGAAGCAGCCAAGCAGGAGCCAGGAGGTGCCTGGTCAGTTTGTGAAGCCTAAAATTTGTGAACACACGCACAAAACCACTACGGACAGAGTAACGGAAAATTGTGAAGGACCCTTGTCAGAGAACAAGAGCGAAGACAGAAGAACACCTAGGACTTTTTTTTTCCTCAGGGAGCAGCGAGCAAGGCTTTAAGAACACTACATCTATCGTTTTCGTTTGTCAGCCAAAATGCCACCCCTTTCTAAGAGACCTCGCAGTTGGTAGAAAGTCACGAGCAGGAAAGATCACAAGGCTCCGAAAGGACGCAACAAACGGCGGCATCGTAATCTTAGCAACAGTACAAGAAAAAGGGAGAACAAAATCAGCCAGGAAAGAAGATCGCCACCTGATTTTTGTCCTCAAAGAAGAGCCATTCCTTCCTCCTCCCTTACCAAACACGCGCACACAGGAACTCGCTAGATCGCCGCGGAGCGGAAGCGAGAGGACGAACCGCGGCGGCCGCCGCCGCCGACAGTGGAAGTGAGCACAAACTGGGGGACTGGAGACTGGACAGCTGCCGCACTCCAGCGAGAGGGTGATGGGAAAAGGGAAGCTCTCTCCCCTCTCCCACGGCAGCACGTAGAGGATCCGAGGGAGGCTTTCGAGGCTCTCTAGCTTCTCTCTGTTTCTTGGTGGTTCAACTCAAAACACTTCATGATTAAGCGCCTTTAAATATTAATCTCTCCGAGAAGTGGCGATTATAGTAAAGAAGAAATGCGAGCGAGCGAGCGATTGACCGGGAGCTCAGCGAGATCCGATAGTTTCCCGGAGGGGACACGGAGGACAATTTAACAGGAAAAAGAGGTGGGAAAGGTGGAGGGAGGAGGAATTAAAGACGAGAGACGGAGCTTTTTGATCTTTGGACTGGAGGCGGCGTGGTAGCGGCGGTAGTGTGATGGCCTGATGACTGACAGGTTGGGAGGTGTGCAGTGTGCAGGTTCCAGTCTTCCAGAGGTGCCGCGCAGGCCAGGCCGCGTTTCTGTGGTCACATCTCCTGTGGCCACCAGTGGGTTGGTTCGGCTCTCAGCCCTTTTTAGTTTCTCCCTAAAGTTTACTTCTTATCGCATCGGATATTTGATATATACATGAATTATTAAATATAAACTAAAAAAAATTAATTGCAGAGATTACGACCAATTTGTGAGACGAATTTTTTAAGCCTAATTAGTCCATGATTTGACAATGTGGTGCTACAGTAAACATGTGTTAATAGCGAATTAATTAGGCTTAATAAATTCATCTCACGGATTACTGAGAACTTATGTAATTTGTTTTATTATTACTATCCGAACACTCATATATGACACCCCGATATGACACCCGATGTGACATTTCTAAACTTTACGCCCTGAATTTAAACATCACCTAATTGAGTTTTATTTTAGAAAAAAAGAATTTTTTTTCATGATTGCTATATGTCAACCGAACGATTCCGCTGCATCTGTCAACCGAATTCTTGGCCGAAGGATTGGAGTCGCGCGTGCTGTGTGGCGTCCGATCCATCGCTCCCCCGGCACCGGTGCCGCTGCTCCCTTCATCACCCGCCCTGACGCCGCCGCCCGGCACTAGCCTCCCTTCGTTGCCGCCCCCAAGCCGGCCGTCCCCAGGCCGGTCGTACGTCGCCTCTCCTCGGCACTGGCCTCCGTTCGCCGCCGCCCCTAGGCCGGCCGACCGTCGTGCCCCCCCGGCACCGGTGCCGCTGCTCCCTCCACGTGCCGTCCCCCCCCCGCAATGCGGGCGTCCGCCCTGGCGCGGTCGTCCTCGACGTGGGAGTGGGCGCGGTCCCCCGTAGCTGCAATCCTACCATTTGGATTTTTTTTCTGAAATATGTGAATAATTTGATGATATTTGTGAATAATTTGACAAATATTTCTTTTATATCTGAAATTTATAGAAATAATTGATAATTTTTTCTGAAAAAATTGACATATATTTGTATTATCCCCAAATTACACAACTGTTTCTAGTAAATCACACTAAATAAATCATTGTAAATATAATAATAAGATGGTGTAAATATAGCTACGAGACAGTGTAAGTAAACAGAAAAAATTCAATAGACAATTTTTTTTTCAGTCCGGATGAGTTTAGCGTACGGCCAATCTTTATTAGGGCTTCAGCCTTCGGCTATTTAAGGAGGCTCTCAAAAAGAAAAGAAAAAAGACCGATTTTTTTAGCACTAAAAACATCTCCATAGAAATTTTATGAATTTTTTTCTTATCTTTAACAGCTGCAGGACATCTTCTCTCACATCTTCTATCCCTATATTTTTTTAGAAGATATCTTAAGTCTACCATCGACTTTAAAAGGAAAAGGAGATATTTTCCCCTCATAAATCAGGCTGAGGTTTTGATAATTTGTTAGAGCAAATGTCTCTTATATATCTTAAAATTACTATGCTACGGGTCTTTTAGAAAACAATTACTTTGGCAAAAAATCTTCTTGCTTGCGGTTTCCAACGACAAGCTAACTACTCCCTCTGTTAAGAAAATAATACAATTCTAGAACAGTGTCATGATTGAGTATATTAAATTCGATCAATTATAGATAAAAAGTATTAATATTTATGATATCAAATAAATATTATTAGATTAATTATAAAATATATTTTTATAATAAATTATTTTAGAATCATAAACATGAATAGTATTCATTAGAAATTGATTAAACATGAACATTTTTTATGGCATGCAATCCGTAGTTACGTTCCTTTGTGGACAGAGGAGTACAGTTTTGACGTGACCCTTTCCTTCCGAAGAACATTCTAGAAGCATGTCTAGTAGCCGGCACTAAAAATAGCCTACTAATAAGACCGAACTTTTTGTTGAGAACTCTATCATTTCTACAAAACCAAATAACCAGAAAATATAGAAGTTGCTCCCGTAGAAAATTGACATCGCATTTGCCAGTCTACTTGTGGAAGCCACACCCTAAATAACCACTACATCTTTTGGTGTCTTCAAATTAAATGCCGAACTCTTCAAACAATTCTCACAACACATCAATATTTTTTTTTCATAGTTTCCTTGTTGTTACAAAGATTAAAATAATTAGGGATCCTCAAATTTGTTAGCGGCGTCACCTCCCCATCCTTGAACTATTAATTTGCATGTATGGTTCCCTAAGCTTAATAAGTGCTTCATTTCACATCCAAAGCTCTGTAACTAGTGTTGATCATAGGAATTTCTTACTTAGCACTAGATTAATGTCCGTACGTTGCAATGGGAGCAAGAAATTTACACTTTTATACTATATTATGTTCAGGTAACTTTTTTTTGTGCTAACCCACATTTTATTTTGTTGTTTCCTGTTGGCTTCTGCAGGGGGATCGTAGGGTGAAGCAAAGGAAGTGTGGCAGAATCATCTAAAATAACTCACTTTTGGAGGTGTTTGTCTTCCATTAGACACTAAACACCTCAAGAGTGAGCTAATCTAAACAGTTCTATCGAGCACACCCCATGGGAGAACCCCGAAAATCCACATTTTTCAACAGGATCATAAATAGGAGAATAAAGCTTACAACATTTTAGCCATTTCTTACATCACTTTCCATGCAACATCAGAGTATAATATTTATTGTTTATAACAGCGAAATATAACCATGTTATCAGAGTTTCAGCGGAAATAAAATCATTTAATGACAAGTTAAACATTAACATAATGATCCGTTATATACATCATAACATGTTATAAGTTTTTCCATTATAAAACATTTTGGGTGTAAGTTTCAAATAAACTCTATGTCCGCAACGTTAAGAAAATCATCGCTGAGCCCACCAGGAGGTTTCCACACATAAGTGTCATCTCCACATGTTCCTGTCACCTGCAACAGGGTAGACCAAACCATGAGTACTCGATTGTACTTAGCAAGACTTACCCGATAGAACGAAATTAAAAGACTTCAAGGATATGCAAGGCTATCTAGCTTGTGGGTTATTGTATCTGCAGGAAGCATTACTAAGCGTGCATCCTTATATTCAATTTTATTAGCAGTCACCATTAGTCTATTATCTAACCATTTTAGGTAAGCACATATGCTACTTTTAAGCAGGTGGTAAGCAATCAGAACTATTTTACCATCTTTCATATTCCAGTTCTTACTACGGTGCTAGATCGTAGCCAAGTCGTACCGTATCACACGGCGGTTCGCGAACCAATGTATCACAGCTGGGTACCCCGAAACACATGCCTCGCTTGTACCCCAAGCACAAGCAAGACCAACCCACCACTCTCCTGTCAAGAGGTCTAGGTCCCCATCCAAACTTGGACTCTAAGCCCCCACACCTGAGTCCTAGACTCAGTGTGGTGCTTAGACCTCCACCATCCCCGCCTTCAATCAGCCGGTCCAAAAAAGAGCCGGAACCAATGACAAGAGAGCAACGAGCCTTTCCGCTCTCATAAGCAAGTATGTGCTCAGGATAATAAGTCGGTGACCTGACTAGAATCAAATGCAACGGACAGTCCTCAATTGACACAGGCGGGACAAGTGCAATCCGAGCCTCGCTCGAATGCCAAACCAAGTCCAGATCTAAAGTGCTATTTCGTCCGGTCTCCAATTATCATTCATATATATATATATATATTCCATGTGATAGTAATATAATAACACAATAATATATTTCCTATCTCTCGCGAGTGACAGGCAATCACTCGACTTCTACCGGAGTCCTGTAGCATAGCAATCTACACGATCCTGTCATACTAGTCAGACTCATAGGATAATGATATACATATGCGAGTGAGTTTTCATTCAACTCCTTAAAACTTAATGCACAAGTATAAAATAAAGTGCAGAATAATAGGGGTTATGCACCGGGGCTTGCCTGAGTAAGATATAACCAAAAGTTAACATTCCATCATGGTGACACGATCATCAAGGCACCATCTTTTCCGTTACTTCGGTCGACTCCATGATCCATCGCTGTTCCTATTATGATATACGTGGATGCAACGCAGCGACGTAGTTAATCAATGGTAACTGCAACTCTATAATACAATTACGCTCCACAAGCTAACGAGCTAACTTTAATGACTAACATACTAGTCTACGTATCTATATCGTCGAGTAAGGCTTTGTCTCCAGAACAATGTTTAACTCTAAAATCCCAAGGTGTTTTGACATTTTATTGATTAAACATATATTTTCGAACTATGACTCATTTAGCTACCTTAGCAAACTAATTATTATGGAGCTACAAAAATTACAGTGAACACCTAATTGTAACAGAACCGCCCAATTTATACAAGATCAAATACGGCTGTCTCCGCTAACACGTTGACACGCGCATACTTTCACTCATATAAACCTGGTAGTCTGCCGAGTGTTCCGAAAGACCTCGGTAAATCAACATTACAACCAAGATCGCGTGATTAAACAAATACACATCACATACACAGGGTTGCAATGGAAATAATATTACAAATGGGTTCACAATTAAAAGTACAAGTTCGGGTTTCAAAATCGATTAGTGAAAACAACATAACTTTCAAAAGATTACATTAATATATGTTCCAAATACATTGTTAGCATAAGTGACATCATCCGACAAAAGCATATAGATAAGAAGTAACTATAGAATCACCGAGCCCATCGGCGGTTAGCCACCATCTTCAACAGGCCGAGAACTTCACCTGCAACATGGTGGGATAAACCCTGAGTACGAGAAGGTACTCAGCTAGACTTACCCATTAGAAACCAAAACAATTGACATCAAGGGTCATGCAAGGCTTATGAGGTGGGCTAGCTTGACACAGTTGCATAAAAGAGCTTATGAATATAGTGACCAATTTAAACTTAACATCAAGTTTATCATCATTTACATGTCCACTAGATTAGCACCTGTACTAGAGCACTCACTTATTAGGAGCAAACAATATTAACCATAGCAGGTATAATAAGGCTGTCATCATCATATCATTATTTCTGAACCATTAGGTTATTTAGTGTATCTACTTTGGAGATAAGCCCGTCAAGTTCTCACTAACCGGGAGAGACGGCGACTCGAATCGAATTACAACTCAGCTGAGGGGGTATTCCTAACTCTCACCCTGGCATACTTTGCAAGGGTAGCCGTGGGTCACCTTTGGGACAACTCAGGAACCAAATTCGCGGTCTCGATCAGCGCCAGCACTCTCAGGGATTACCCTTCTGCCAGGACGATCATGACTTTTAAATCACCTGCCCTTGGACTCACGCCTACGGCTCCCTTCCGAGGCGCACTTTATACTTATCGACTCCTGGCCTGAGGTGAGCTACTCGGCTTCGTGGTCGGTCTCTAGACTCGGCCAACTAAGAGAGAGGCATGCGTTCAACATGAACAGGAAAGGCTCCAAGATTCAGTCCTTAAGCGACACAGACGGAGTCACTGCAAACCGGTAAGCCTCCACCCGGTCTTCATTTCAAATTAAGACAGGTTCTTTTCCACGATAGCAAATATAGCCAACGGTGCCATATGTATGTCCCTATATCTCGCAGGTGACAGGAAATCACCCGACTTCTACCG